AAGATGAAGCGCAGTATGGCAAATCTGACACAGTTATATCAACATATGTATCATGTGGAATATCAAATGGAAAGGAATCAATATAAATAAAAAATAATTTATATAAAGATAAAGAACTAGATTGGATCGAGAAGAGGGGAATATGCTACATAAAGACAACATGACAAAAGACATAGAGTTTTGTGATTAGTAGGATCACAACAACGATACTCTTTTTGATCTTCACCAAAATCAAGGAACACACATAAAACTGATCGAGTAGATCCTCGAAACCATTGATCCATTTGATTGCTTTGTACAATCAAGCTTTGGGGACCATCTTACTACGTACTGATTGCTTCATACAATCAAGTCTTAAAACTGGAGCTTAAGAAAAGCAAGAGAAACTCGGGAAGCCCCATTCTAGGGGTAACTGCATTTCAAACTAAAAGTCAAATGGTAGTATATCAACACTTGTAGTCAACAAGGTTTGAAACCCATGTAATGCGTCGTTCTTTGTGTATGTCTAGAAGCAAGTCAAGCGGTAAGAAACCCCATATCTGTTTCGTGTTTTTTTATGATATTGGAAGCTTGTGCAATTGATCTGCAATCATAGTTAAGCTAGAGGCCAATCACAGGTAGTGCAACTGCTACTGTATGATGGTCTTTGGGTTTAAATGACTGATTTTGTGATCCCCACGCATTCTTATTCATCAATTTAGAAAACCTAGCCTTCTAGTGATCCTTTTCATGACAAAAGTTACACTCATCTGAAGCTGCACAACCCCAGTACTTGTTCTACAAGTTAGAAGACACCTTGGAAGGAACAGCCAACACAATCTGATTGGCAAAGGAAGAAGACCTTGCCAGTTAAGGTTTTAAGATGTACCTCCTCAACTAAGAATTTATTAACCACTACATCAACAGAGGGAAGCGGGTGATGATGAAGAATTGGGCCCCAAAGTCCCACAAAGTCGTATCTGAGTACCAAAAAAAAACTGCACCGATCTTTGCTCCTCTCCAAAGGTGTGATATTCCTTATTAATACTTAGTTCAGCAGGTTCAATAAGTGTCAACTGATCCCAAAATCCAATCGTAACAACGTAAAATCTTGTCTATTCCTAACCCCCTGACACACTTCAAATTTCATGGTCAAGTTGATACCTCTTTGCAAAAATAGACCGAATGAATAACGTAGCCAAATAGTTCCAGATTTCCTAGGTTGTGTTAAACTTATCCAAATGTACACCAATTATCTGAGCAACGGAGTTGTTATCCAAGTAATAATTTTAGCATGATTCACATCCCAACTATTCTTCAAGTCTACATATTTGTCTGCCTTCATATTTGTTAGAGCAACCACAACACCATTGACATGACCCTACATATACTTACCTAGTAGTAAATTTTTCATAACATAGGACCAGTAAGCTTAGTTTTCCCCAATCCATTTCACACTAATTGCCTGAAGAGAATATGAACTTTCACTTGCCATGATTTTGAAACCAAGGCCAAATGAAAGAAAATACCGTTCACAGAAAATAAGCAGTCCAACAGGCTCAACACAAGGTCTAGTAAATTATATATAAAACCAAATCCCAGCTCAAGTCCAGACACCAAGTAGAGAACACCACAGTCCAAACAAGGAAAAAAAATCCAGCCCGCCCACTACGCCAAAGGAGATCACTGCACCACAGTCCATGCTCACCACTGAAGGAGATCACATCGAGTAAAGGGAAGATGCAAAATCCACTTTGGAAGAAGGCAGCCACAGTCCACAAACAGGAGCAAATCTCACAAGAAAGGATGAAGATCGATCAATTCAAACAGCTTGGATTTCGAAAGAAAACTGAGATTCTCAACTAAAAATTCACCAATTTTCTTCCAGAAATCAATTCAAGAGCCTTTAAAACACTCAAACAAACATTGGAAGATGAAAATCACACCACACCCAAGTGATTTGAAGCAAAAATCTTGAGCAGATCTCACGAAATTATCAGATTTGACATTTCAACCTATTTTTGCAAAAATTCTTCAAAAAATCACAAACAACATCGGACGACCTCTAAATCGAAAACCAATCCCACCATTGTGAAGCCCATGTAAAACCGACCAGATTGATTTGCATTGGGAGCTTTGGGTGCTGACATCATCATTACAGACGATGACATCAGCCTTGCTTCTTCCTTTGAGGTTGATTCTAGGCCCTAAGCCTGTTGCTTGTTCTGTTGTGATTCTAAACTTGTTTCGATTGAAAAACGAATTCTGATACCATGTTAAGATTGATCAAAGACAATGAGAAGACAACATATCATTACAACACATAATTTGTGTAATTATACTTCAACCTAAAATATAGAATAAAGACCATTATATAGTAGGGTAACAACAAATGAATAAAACTACTAAAATGCCCCTAAAACTAATATGCTAAAATACTCTAACAAATGACACAGAATAAGTAGGATAGAGATCGTCAATCCCATGAATTGGTCGAAAGGAGCCATTAACTAACACAATATTTGAGTGAGATGAACATAAATTAGAAAATGGGGAAGATTTACCAGACATATGAGTACCAACTCCTACATCAATAATCCAAGGTGAAGAAGAAGGTGGAGCAACTACACATGAAAATTATCTTCATTAGCAAGACTTGTAGAAGGAGGAGCTGGCAAATGTAAAAAAAGTGAAGATAACTGTTTAATAAGTTGGCGAAGCTATGAAGAAAGACCATCATGAGAAGCCTGAGTAGCATATGCTGGCCTCCCATACTTATCCCAATAATAATTATAAGTGTCATGTGTCACCACAATAAGTACACTTCCACTTAGATTGATGACCACGAAAAGACCAACCACCGCATCCACTATGTCCTATGCACAGACCACCACGACTGACAATGGAGAATGGCTCATGGCCACCACGACGAACACCATCATTATTACCATTCAAAGTCGCCATCAAAGAAATTCACAATTGATTATACAATGTCGAACAAAAAAATCAAACCACAAAAGCCCAGTAATCCACCAAATGCCAAGAATCACACAAACTAGTATAGAAAGTACCAAGAGAATACTCAAATCTGAACCAGAGGCGTCATAAATTCAATTCACAATCATATATTAACAAATAATAGGACTAAACTTAGCAAAGTAGTGCGTCGAAACGAACCTACTATAGATCGTCAACCATAACCAAGAATCCATAATCAAGAAGCCAAGATAGGGCAAAACAATAACACTCTAGAGAAACCACGAAAAGAACCAAAAATCTGTCCCAAAAAAAAACAACTCAAAGAAGTTATTGTTCAAGTAACAATTGCATAAACCAACAAGAAGAGTGTATCCACACAAAGATCTACCCAAAACACATTTAGTAGCAAAAAAGAGAAAAACTCGAAGTCGAAAGAGTGACCAGAAGCTAAAAAAAATCACTGTCAACTAGTTCTTGAGGAAAAAATCATCCAAAACATAACTCAAAAAATAGATGGGTTAATCACAAATAAATTCTATAGCTTTGGTCAACCCATTATTTTCTACAAAACTGCAATCCAATTATCAAGAACAAGGCACAAACAAGGACTACAGTCGTGAGATAATTGTAATCACATTGACGAAGAACGAGAATCGCAACCAAAGAAATTGAACAATTGATCATAATAAATCCTTAAGGCATGATTTGGGATCCAAAAAAACTCCCATAATGAACAGTAACTCGTGATGAACAGTGTCTCTTTGAATAGCAACTTTGGTGAATAGTAACCCCGAGATGAATAGTGTAGAGAATAGGAAAAAGAAAAGAAAAGAAAGGACTATAATAGATGCTCTGATACTAAGTTAAATTAGCGAATTTGATATTAGAGTCGAGGAAGCAAGGTATCTATATGAAGATTCAAACACAGAAAAAAGAACCATATTTTACTGAATAATTTGATTAAATAAGGAAGAGCCCTTTATGTGGTCTCACTTTACCACCATCGAGAAAGAATAAGCATAATCTGGTGTGTAAGCTACGTTGCCCTACACTCACTTATTTATACCAAACTTGATATTATGAGAATTACAATACTATCCTTCATTACTAAAAATGTAAGAACTCTAACATACGCTATTATCCCATCCTTATTAAATATGACTAATACAAAAAATAAATAAAAAATCTAACACGTCCCCTCAAGTTAGAACATAAAGATAAAAAATGTCCAACTTGAAATATAAAATACTGAAGGCAATCCTCGCTAATGACTTGGTAAGAATGTCACCTAGTTGATCACCAGACTTAATATATAGAGTAATAATTGTTGTACCAAACGCAACCTAAAGGAGAGGGGGAGGGAATTAAGCTTTTACTTTTCAAAAATTCTTTCCAAAAATAAAATTACTATTTGTAAAATTGATTTGATTGCTAGTGTGTGGATGTGAAATGAATGTGTGGTCAACAATAATATATGCACATAATAGATAGGAGTGTAGAAAGAGAAATGCAAACACTATTTATAGAGGTTCGGGCCCAAATCACTTGGCCTACAACCCTTTCTCCTTCCTGCCCTTGGAGTTTTCCTTTCACTATCTTTATTCTCTTTAAATGGGTGAGAATGAAACTCTTACAATCTTCTTGATACAAATGATAAACTCCTTTTTGCACTCTTCAAGAAGAATATACAAAGATTTCTCTTTCTAAAGAATATTCTCTTAATACAATATTCTCACAAAGCTCAAAAGAATCAAAGAAAAAAGAATAAGATGTACACAAAAATCCTCTTTTCAAGATGTAGGCAAAGGCTTAATAGATCTCTCTTTTATTTTTACTCAAAGATAAAAGCTCAAAAAGTTGGTATTAAAAATCCTCAAGGCCCTATTTATAGTTTGGTGTAATAAATGAGAGATTTAAAGTTGGCTAGCAGAAAAAACGAGTCATCCGGATGTCTATCCGGACTTCCAGATGTAGCATTTGGAGGACTAACGGCTATATCCGAATAAACATCTAGACTTCCAGCAAAACCTTGTGTTTTAAACTTAATCATGGTTCTTCAAAATCTTCATATTCCAGGAAGTTTTGGAGAGCTTACATACGTTCATCCAGAATTTTGAATGAACAATAACCAAACTTCCAATTGGAACCGATCCGTAATTCCAGAATTGTCTTTCACCTGTGGTCTTGTCCTTCATGATTCCTTCACATCCAGAACTCCGGATAAGTACTCCAGAATTCCAAAGTAGCCTTCCAGATAGAACATCCGGAGTACCTAAAGGTCTTCCTGGTACCCTTGCCTTCCTTAGCCTTTTCTCTTCAACTAGACTTCTGGAAGGGCTATCCAAACTTCTGTGTGGTCTTCCGACTAGCACATCAAGAATTCTGAATTACAATTCTACTTTGGGCTTCTATCCTTTTCTTTCCTTTTCAACTTTGGCACATGTCCAACTTGATCCTATACTCATCCATTCACTAATTACAAATGTTAGTCCATATTAGGGTGTTTGTCATCAACAAAATCATGTATATCAAAGCATTGAGTCAACATTATCCACTTAGTACATGTATCCTATCACACAACATTTTTACATCAAACAATTTTTTCATAAAATTTGCATGGAAATCTCCCTCTTTGCCAATACACCATTTTTTTCCATATTGTTTGTAAAAATGACAACATTTCCCAAAAATTTGAGAATAGTTAATATTTAGGTTACATACATATCTATATAATAAAACAGAAAGGAATTTGAATTTTATCCTACACATATTTTTCCTTCTCAAAACTATCTTATCACAACCATCCCTTCCATCTTAACGTTCCCCTCTTTCCTCACCTGACACAGCCGCCTGACACACAACTGTCAGCTCCCTCCCGCTCTATGAGACTTCTCCATCCCATCCTCCTTCACCTCTCCATTCCATCCTTTTCACCCATCTTTTAATTTTTTTTCTCTTTTCCTCCACTCCCCTTCTCTCTCTAACCAGTGTTCATGAGTTTTGCGAGCAAGAAGCGAAGTGCCCAGAATCAATGAGAGAGACAGAGTGAACTCACCGAGTGGGTGAGTTCCATCTCTCAATTTTCAAAGCTTAAATGCTCTCTCAGTCTGTGTTTTCCTTCCAATTCCATTTCTGTGAAGCCAATGTGAGCAGATGAACTTCCATTATTGTGTTTTTGACTTGGGTTTTTTGTTTGAAGTTGTCACGTTGATCTGGAGATTTGGGTTTTGAAAACGATTAGATTAAAAGCGAAAGACAAAAAGGAAAAAGATTTTTGTTTCACCCAACAACAATGTCACTCTTCATTCAAACTCAGAACTTTTATCCAAGTAGAAAAAAAGACTGATGGCTTCTCCAAGGTACTCGGTTCTGTTCTTTTTACTCTGTTATTGTTTCTTTGGCAAGATCAGAGGACGCCCAAGCTCTTTTAGAGTTGAAAGCTTCGGTAGATCCATCAAACTCGCTTCAATGGCTCAAAGAATGCCTTGCCAGTCCGGCGACATCTCCAGCGCCATCGCCACTGCGATATTATTTTTCATTCGATCAATTTTGTTGTGTTCTATTTTTAAATTTAACTCTGTCTAATTTTTTCAATATTGATTGTGGGTCTAATTAAAGAGTCTATTGGGTATAGAGGAATACCTGTTGCTGATGCGAAACGGGGGCATTTGGAAGAGTCCACGAGCTTGAGAGAGAGGCACTGACATGGAGCTTGGGGAGTCAGTGAGGTGAGGAGTGAAGAATGGGGTGATAGAGAGGGCGAGTGAAGTAAGGAGGTCACGGCGGTTGATGGGTTGGAAGCAATTTTGTGGGTATTTGGGATTTGAAGGTGGAGGAAGAAACGGACATGGCGAAAGACCTATGTTGGAGACGAAGACTGTTGGCATTATTCAACGACCAAGGGAACTGAATTCTACAATTTTGAGTAAGCGTGTGCGTGTGCGTGTGCGTGTGCGTGTGGTGGGTGGGTGGGTGGATGGATGGGTGTCAGTGTGCCAATTATTAATATGGATTATAGATATGTGCCAATTATCAAGCAAATAAAAATAAAATTTTAGTTAAAATATTTGTATGATATTGAGAGTTTTTGTATTACATGGTTAGTGCTTAATTTTATGTTGCATAATGTCTTCATGTTTGAATGTTGTCTATTTTTTTTAAAAAAAAGTGGTTGTCGCGATTTATTATTAGAATTTTTATTTTTCATATAGGTAATATTTTGTTAATCATTTATATAAAATGCAGATGCATTTTAGGCTTTCAACTTAGTGTCGGTCCAAGTTTATTGTTTAATATTTAGTGTTTGTTCATTTTCGTGTGTGTCTATGTTCATTGTTTGATTGTTCGTTTTCAAGAGCAATGTAATTTTTTTTTTTTGAATTGCACAATTTTAGGCACGGATTATGAGTTCAGTGTTTGATTATTTTGTGCCCAAATTCAGTGCTCGATGTTTTTGAATTACACTATGCTTTCAGGCACGAGTTATCTCTAGTGTATTTATATTGAAACAACTTTTTATAGCACACATACATATAATTCTCCCCTTTAGCATCATCAAAAGTAATCCAAGTCATTTCCAATCACTTGTCAAGGGTAGAGAGATACTTAATGTAACACATAATATTATAATTTTCTAAGCATAACCATAATATGTATTACATACATGTGTATCTCAACGCATAATGAAGATATTTTTGTTGAGTTCAAAAGATGAGTAATGTTAACACATAACATACGGTTTTTCGCAACCATCCAAGCAGCATATTGCATTGCACATCACATCACGTGTTAATTCAAAATCATCCATTGCATGTATTAAGCTTTAAAGCATCCATACAACTTTAAAACTATCAACCATAGGATGAAAAATATCCAAAACATCTTAAAATATTCAACATAAATTAACAACATCCAACAAAATTTTAAAAATATCCAAAACACCCTAGGATAGAAAGCAACTATTAAGTCTTAAAACATAACCAACAAACCAACGTCCAAAACTTCATCCCACGAAGAGAGGAGGAAGTGGTCCAAATTGGATGTAGAGGTGATGCGTTATCCCATCAACCTTGGTGTGAAGACCCTCCATGCTAGTTGTCAACTCATCCACCAATTTGCAGAGAGGCTTAAGATCACTCATAGTAGCAAAACGTCCCATCAAGATGGTCCCCTCCATGTCATTATCATAAAGCTCTTTGGTCCTTTGTGGATCATCATCTTCCATGACAAAATTTTCCAACATCTCTTCGATCTCATCACCTCCTTCACCAGCCGCCATTGCTCTCTTTTCTTTACAAATCACATTTTCCCTAGTATCAAGCCCCATTAGTTTTAGAGTGGTGCTATCAAAGAAAGTCTTCTCAGTCACTACTTTCTCATGATTGAGGTCCACTTTGGATTTCTCAAAAACCTTAGTACAGAGCATACCATAGGAAGATTGCTATCCCTTTTATCCATAAGTGTCATGAATTGCGTAATAATGTAAGGGAGATTAAGCATACGTGCAATGAGGATGGAATGGATTAGGAAAAGTTGGAAAGAAGTCACCTAATTAACATGTCCTTCCTTCAGAACTACATTCTTGATGAGAAATTTGTTGATAATTTTAGACATATCTAGCATATGCTTGGTCTTAATTTTCATGCCTTTAGTGTAGTTATTCCCACATATCATTCTCATAGCTAGGTTGACATCCTCCATACGACCTTTCAAATTTCCTCTCTCCCAGGAAAATATCTCATCACCTTCATTTGGTGCCTTAAGAAGTTTTTGTAAGCCTCTTTTTGGCTAAGAGTAATCTTAACCCTCTTCACCATTGATATTATCTTACCCGAACTAGTCTCATTAAGATTTGTGTAGAACATTCAAATTAATGTAGGATGAGAGGGGCCATCTAGTTCCATGAAATCAATCCATTTCATGATGTCAAATAGTACATCCACACCCAAATGAGAAAGCGTGAAGAAATTAATGAACAGACCTTCTATGAGGTTTTTCGATTGTTACCGAGTCCATCGTACAAATTCATAATGAGATCCAACTGTGGATGTCACAAGGCCACTAATCGATGGCTAAGATCCAGATGGAGTCGAGTCATCAGAAACCTGATTGGCATAAGTTGGTTTTCCATGCTTATCCCAACAATAATTCTCAATATGTCTAGTGACTCCACAATATGAACATTTTCACTCGAAACATGTGCCACAACCACCATGGCCTCCACAACTAGAGCCAAATGTTTGGCTTGGCTTTTTTTAGATTTACCACATAAAGCCTTCACATTACTCTCAGGATGTCCACTTTAACTTGTAGAACCATCATTAATATACTTCTGATCTTTGACCATCAAATCTCTGAAAAATAATATAGTCCCCCAAGTCATTTTAATGTAAGATGTTGCGTGTGTACATAATCATAGTTTTAGATTGTGTATTATCCATTACAACAATTCATCTCCCTATTTAGCTTTGAACAATCTAGTTTCTTTCAAACATGACAGATCAGATATGCAAAGTTACCATTTTTCACTACAGCTATTCCGAAGTAATCAATATTTCTATGTGAATTCATCTATGATTAACATACTAACATATATTTCATATGCGTTCCCTCTCCATAATCCATACCCAACCCAAAATCTGATAAACAATTCTTTCTTAAGAATTTTCAACCAGTTAATGCATACATATGCGCAGATATATATTCCCTACTTAGACAATTTTAGAAAATAATAACAACACTATTTTCTACAGAGTACTCCAAAATTAGACGGATTACCCCCAAACTTATCTATATTTTCCTCCCGCTAAAGACTTGCGAAATAGGCCCCCTAATCCCAAAACCTGTAGCCATCCTGTGTAGGGGTATGTGGTGAATTGTGCATGAGCATAGCTGTTGAGTGTATGCGTGTGTGTTGAGAGAGAGAGAGAGCGTTTGTGTATAACAGCACACGTGCGTGTGAACGTGTGTATGTCTGTGTAACAAAGAAAATTACAAAGAGCATACCAAAATCTCAAAGCCGGGGAAAGGAAAGGCGAATACAAACAGAAACCAAGAACGGCGTCCTTCCTACTTCCAATGCCAAATAACTTCTAAAAACTCAGATATTCGCCATGAATTCCCAAATTCCTCAGAACTCTGGCTCTTCCAATTCCCATTCAATGAAGAATGTTCATCCTTCTCGGAACTCAAGTCCACTCGAACAGGCTTTATTACAATGCGATCTTCTCCGAAACCTTTGTGATTAAATGAGGGAGAACTATTCCAATAGTAAGGGCACAGTGAGACACGAGACTGTGTAGAAAGCTATAGAAGAAGATTGTGCAGAAGAATCGAACCGGATCGACTGAGTTTCTAGGAGAGAAGGAAGGGAGATAGAGAATTAGGCTTGTAATCAAATGAAATGTCTCGGCAACCTTTTGGGGCGCCCGGTGAATTTCTTATTTCCGATATAAACTAAAAAGAAATTAAAAAAATAAACAAATAAATAGAGGAGGGACCGATATAGGTCTATATAATACAATTCAAATTTCAAATGATAAACAAAATAATTTTTATTTTTTACGGTAAAATTTTTTTAAAATTTTATTTTAAAATTAATTTAACGACTAATAATAACACCTCAAATTTAACAAAAAAAAAAAGCTTATACGAGTTAACTTTTTAAAATTATTTCTAGAATTTATAATTTCTCATAAGTACTTTTTTAATAAAAAGTAGTGTCTGAAATCGATCAACCACCACTACCATCACCTCATAACCACCACTACCCCAATCACCACCATCACTACTCCAACCAAAACTACCGTTGTCGCCTCCACACGACCACCTCTGACATAATAGTCACTACTATCACCACCACAATTACTGTCGTCGCCATCACACCACCACCACCACCATTATCGTCCCCCCCCCCCCACCAACAATACCATTGTTGCTACCCCACAACCACCATCACCACCCCCATTGCCCCACAACCACGATCCCCTCTACAACCACGCCCATCACCACTATCTACACCTTATTACCACTGTCATTGTCCCACCATCACCCATACCACCACCACTATAACCATTGCCACTCAAGGCTGCTATCATCACAATCAGTTGTCGTCACCCATTACTACCATCCACCACCATTACTGCCACCTTCCACCATTACCACTACTTGCTCACATTATAATTGGTGCTTAAATTTTTTTTTCTCTTCTCTATCTTTGTAATTTGATCTTTGGTGTGAATACAAATATACTTATTATTGATATTTTTTTTATTATTTCATGCCTTCGAGTACAAGAAATAACTAGTATTCATATATTTGTAATACCTAATAATAATAATATAGTTATTATCTAACATATTGTTTTTGCTTATTTATACTATATTACCATTTCAAATATTTTTTGGGCATCAATTATTTCTATTATAAGTTAAATCATTAAAATTTTAAATAATTTATTATTTAATGCAATTTTATTTGAAATATTGTTTAGATTCGATTGTGTTCACATGTTAATATTTTTATGAGGCGATGTATTTTTTAAAAAAAAAATTGTTGTTTTTTTGAAAAAATAATGGGTTCAAAAGAAAATTTGATATTTATAAAATGTGATTGAATTTTTTTTTTGTGCTCGAATTTTATGTTGTACCGTTCTTTTAAGCATATGTTATGATTAGTCTATTAAGAATAAAGAATGTGGTGTAACATATTTACCTAACGAAAATTTTTGGATCAAACTTTTAATTGAATGTTAAATCAAAAATTATACCGAGTTTTCAAATTAAGATTTAAAATGTGCTTTAAAATTTTAGTTCAAAATCTATCTAATAAGATAATTAGCATTTTAAATTTTAACATATCTTTCCCGTTATTCCTATCACATTTTTTTTGTACACCAATCATTTCTATCAAAAAGTGAATCATTTAATTTTTGATTAATTTACAGTTCAATATAATTTTTATTTCAGATATTATTCATATACAATAATGTACACATATTGATATTTTTTTGAGGTCATGTATTTTAAGAAAATTGTGAATTTGTTTTAGAAAATAATGGGTAGAAAAAAAATTAATATTTTATATAGTGGGATTGATTTTTTGAGCTATCAAATTTTATGTTGTTTCGTGCCTTTAGCTAGAAGAATATAATGTTAGATTGATAAAAAAATATGACTAAATTAAGAGACTAAATAATGACATTGACGTAACAATTCAAACTAAATAAACTTTTACTCCAACTTAATTCCATGTCGTCAAAAAAAAAATGTGTGTGGTGCTAAACATGGGTTAGAGCATTTTAGTGTCAGGATTAGCGTCAAGCGATCTCCACGAGACATGAACCACAATCCAGAGGAAAAAAGAAGAGTGGTTTATCCGCAGTAAGTGATGTGCGAGCGAAATTGTCAATAAACCAACCAAGTCAATCATTTTTCACTTTGCACTCCGTTAATTTTTACCAAAATAAATTTAGATCATTGGTGCCACATTATTGATCAACCATTACTCATAAAAGACTTTTCAAAAGCTCTAAAGATATGTGATTAAGAAGACATGTCACATGCGTCTTACAGATTTAACTGACATCTATAGTTTATAAGTGACTGTAAAAGTAAGTCTAAGTTAGCCCTGCATTGGTGGGATTTCCCATTTTTTTTTAAAAAAAAAGTGTCATATGTTTTAAAAAAGTGTGTCCCTTCTATTTCCATGCATAACACCAACATTATGCCAATTAAACCTTTTAATAATAAATTATACATTGATCAAAATTTAATTTAAATTTAAACTTGGTTGTTGGATATGGGTTGATTATTAGTCTATTATTCAAATTTGAATCCAAATACATTACATTATATTTCATAGATTCATACTTGGATATGTTAATAACTACCCAATCCACATAAGATGCATTTAAACATAAAAATAAAGTGCAATAGAGTGATTATTATTTGATGAAATTGAGCTCGAATTTAAACGCCATATACTAAAACTCAACTGAATTGATTTATTTGGATCAGATCAAACATCCGAATATTAATGGACTAAGATATAAATTGTAAAAATAAAATCTATCTAATCTTTCTACTCAATTATAAATGAGAAATCGCTCGAGCGGCCTAGAGATTCGTCTCCTTAGTTCTCTAGTAGTTTGTCTCTCTAATTGTTCATAGACCGGTCTAGCCGATAACGAGTGACTAGAGAGCGGTCCCTACTAGTTTATAAGTTGGAAACCAAGAAAAAATTATGCCTATTGAGTACTAAGGGGTATTGCTCAAATAGGATCCAATACATGACTCATTCTATGTTTTTAAAACACATTTAAGGTTTAGAAAAATTTTTGTTTGAAAAACCTAAGAGTCATTCAAAGATTTTTTCAAGTCCATTTTTAACATTAATCATCCTAAGTCAAATAAATTATACCAAAGGCTATTAACTTTCTAAGGTCATTACCTTTGTCCTAAATTTGAAGATGTTGGAATGTGAGTCGCTAAATCCATTGATGGCGCGTATAAACCAAATCCAAAAAAAAAAAAAATTATTTGTTAACCTTACAAGGCGAAATTAGGGTTTACTTTCAAAAGATTGATCTTGTTACAACATGAACAAAAAACCTAATGTAGATAGAACAATTGGTTTTATGGACCTTACGATCTTCTACCATGTGTCCTTCAAAGCCAAAAAATCGAATGCAATGTGGATTACAATCCTCCTGAATTTTCTCTCTTGCTCTCTCTACCTCTTCCAAGCATGAAAGTAAATTGTGTGGCTTAGAGAACCAGACAGAACGTGTATATATAGGCTATAGTATAGACCCTAAAGAGAAATAAAATTTGGGCTTTTAATGGGCATAGAAATCCTATGTCTAATCCAGAACAAATATTCTACGGTCCATTAATAATAAGTTTATCCACTAAAGACTTATTAATGATCTCTTAGATCTTATCTCAAAATTATCTTTCGAGCTTATTGTTATTATATTCTTAATAATCTCCCCACGTTTAAGATTATAGATATCCATCAATTAATTAAATTACTGACAATTATTTTTAATTGGGTTCTTTTTATTCTTGAGATTTTACAACTCAATTTATTTGTCATGTAGGATAATTAAATCCACCTGTAAGGTTTGACAAGAGAAAACTTATGAGCTTTCTCAAAATGACATCACCAACTCATTTAAATACTGGGACGTGGATTCCTTTAATAATTAATTTCTATCATACAAATAATATCATCTTCCAATTCACCAAATTTGTTGACTCAATATGAATCTTTCTCTTTGATGAATTAAAGTTATAATCATTATCACTACAAGAAAAATGTTTTTTAGAGTCAAAAAAAGTCGCCGCTAAAATTTTTTTGCGACAAAAAAACTTGCTTGCCAATTTGTCACAGTAGCCTCGCCACTAAAAGCTTTTGACAACGAACTAAAGTATCGTCGTTAAAGTAAATTATTAGTGACAAAAAAACTTAGTTACTTACAAATTCATCTACTTGCCACAAAAAAACCTTCGTTGCCGAAAGACATTATATTATGATCATATTTTTTCTCTTTGGCAATGACATAATATTTGTCACAGAAAATCAAGGTACATTTTTGCGACTAACATATTTTTGATGCCAAATAAAAAATGAATAATCTTCCCTTTAAATAATAGGAAACAAAATTTATTTGTCACCAAAATAAGAGATTTTTAGCGACCAAATTGTACTCATCTTCAAACAAAATCATTTCTAAAGAACGGTATTTTATGATTACTATTGTCCTTGTAACAAATCAAGATAAATTCACTATAGAATTTCAATCATTGAAGATCATTATAAATTAAATAATCCATAAAACAAAACAAAAAATAATATCCCAAGCATTTATTCAAAACACATATAAAAACATTCATACAATAACTCATACAAAAACATTTATATATAATTTCATAATAAAATCTCATATCAAAAAATCCCACGTAAAAAATCAAACTGAAAAAAAAAATAAAATCAAATGCCACAATATCTAGATGCCACAAGAACTCGAAATACTTAGATCATAGAGGAAGAGATCTCATCTCCAAAACCAACTCCAAGTAATCCATTGTTAATCTGCATTGAACACAACAAAAGTACATTAGCAAAACTAAAAAATTATTTGCTAGAGTACATTAAGCATATATTTAGAACTGAATAATACTTACCAAGATGAAGTCGTCTCGCTTGTCTTCCTATTGCCTCCACCACGTTGCATTGCCAACTTTACCTTTGACA